ATTGACTACCCGAGCGGGCAAGATGGAGCTATCTTGTCCGCTCGGGACTACCCGCCGTGTCCCGCAAGAAAAATTTCTCCAAAAGCCATATAATAAATCCTTTATTGAACAAGCTTGTTCGGTCAAGATGGCTGGATATTGGCCTCGTTCTGTTTTTTTTTTTGCGAGTTTATGGACCGAGACGGAGGCGAGGTCCATAAACATGCAAAAAAAGAATTCAATGCAGGGGCGTAGCGACCATATACGCATGTGGGTACGTGCGTATATGGTCCGGAAAACCAGAAATACTTGATATTTATCTGGCGGGTTTGAGGGTCTTTAGCCTCTCCAATTAAACCTTCTGTCAATTATCCCAAAGGTTAACATATACGCAACACGAGATTTTAAACGTTTACTAAGTACTTAACGTTTTTCCATGTTTTGATTTATGTAACTGGTCAATGGAGAACGTGGATGGGTTCAAGAACCCCTAAAAGTAAACCATTCCCAGTGGGTATGCCCCTAAACCCTTCCTTGCCTCGGTGCAAACTTCTATGAAATATGAACGCTACGTCCCTGTTATTTACGTTGGCTGGAGCGAAATTTAGGCTAACCGGACCGCCATTCAGGTTAACCCAAGAGATATCCAGCCTAATCAGGTATGAAGGCCAGACAGTTGATACAAAGTAAAAGAAGTGCTGTTATATATAATCTTTCCTGGGTGTTCCTCTGGCATCTTACAGAATGACATTAAATTATGACTTACCAATTCTTTACAATCAATTATTACTCGGGCTTCGGTGGGAAAGCCCGAGTCTAAAAATGCGAGCTGTTTTGCTTTGATCGCCAAACGGTGGTCATGGTCCCAGGCGTTCCTAGCGTAGAGTGTGGAAACTGGGAATGACAGCTAGCTGCTCGCTCTTCGTGAACAACATAAATTATAGAATGTTGTGTTTTGTGAAGAGGCCTTTCGAAGGAATTGTGCCTTTTTCGCCGCTCATCTCACTTACAATGTCGAGCGTTTTCGGAACGAGTCAGCCTTTAGCTTGAAAACAGCCAAATCAACAAAGTCAGTGCTAACTCTCACGAGATAACAAATGCGCCACGAGTTCAAACTGCGAAAACACTGGGAAACCTATGACTACAAAATTAACAACAAACTATGATGCTGACTGAGACGAACACCTCAGGTATTGAAAAAAATCAAGGATCTTCGAGAATAGAACTTCGAAGGTGAATAAGACAACATGTAATCGGAAAAAAAAAGAATACTCACACGAGTTGAACAGTAAGAACTTTCGTTTTGAATATCCTGACCTGTTTATTGAGTTCAATACTTGGAGACTATCATTTGATAGTGCGATACGGAACCCAAGTAAACGTTCTTAGAGCGCTAGTTTCAGGACAATTATTTTTTGTGATAACGAGAAATTCTGGCCATACGTGATATATTCCAAGAAACCAGAGCGATAACATTGTTACTGTCAAGGAGCAAGCAAAGCTAGATTGCCGATGTCGCCTACTCGAAAGCGACATATTTCACATTAAAATGATCAATGATATCTGCAAAACACTGTGATAGCAACAATTCAACATACAGAACCAACTGAACTCTCAAATAATAGTAAGTGACGAGCGTAAAGTTACTAATTTACAGTATGCGGATACAGAAATATGGCAAGCTCAGTCTGACATGTGACTTCCATGGCGTTCGCAAATGTAAAACCTTTAAACGCGAATTAGCAGCTTTTCATATATCATATATTATGTAGACTGGCATGAAATGCTTACCTTTGCTAGCCATTCTCACCCGGTTATTTCGTAATCAGGAACTCGTATCGTTGTAAGCGAGGAAACTTCGCTGTAGAGATTGAGTTGTTTGTTTTACCGTTTCCTGAGAAAGAACAAAAGCGAAGGGAAATATCCCGTATCAATTGAAAGGTCACGCATTTTAATATCCTGTTTTCTCGGAAAACCCCTTACATTCCTATGACTTGCCCTTACAAAAATATAAAACTTCATTTTTTCTTTTGAACATTTCTTTACGTCAGCTTGAAGAGGAGCATACCCAATTCCTACGTCGTCTTTGTGTTTGGACGTCGAAAAACAGAAAATACGTGAATATTCGACTTCCGGTTTCACAGTACAAGAACATTAAGTACTCGTGTTACGGAAGTTTTTAGCGTCAAGACGAGGCATAAACAATCCCTTATCATAAGGCCCTGCTCACAAGCAGGTAGGTAGCCCGCGTTTACAAGCAAATGTTTTCAGGTACTGTGTCCTACTACCCGGGACAACTTTAGACGATAACGCTTAAGATAACCTACTGGTAAATAAAACACGTAACCGAGAAAGTAATAACCTCTTACTAACCAAGCGCAAGGGCCGTACTGGGGAATAGGGACTTTAAGCAGCGGGAACGCGCACGGCAACGGGGACGCCGAAACCTGTGAGAAGGCTGGGGAGAGAAGGCCGTTGTGGCAGGAATTCACAAACATTAAGCAGCACCGTTCGAAACCGCGGTTTCCGCACTGTCAAGCTTATTGACATTATTCGTCCTCTGTTTATCA